GGCCCAACAGAGTAGGATTCCTCTGCCGGCCGCGGGATACGAACCAGCAACCTTCCAGGCTGGATGAGACAGAGTCGGAAACAGTACATTTGGTATCCTGAATTCCTGATCCACAACAATAACTTTTGCTTAGACATTAGAAGCACGTGATGCTTAGAAATAAAAATAGCAATAACTGCTCACAGCATGACTGATTCTTGCCTTTTGACAGATATGAACAAATAAATCATGTGATGGCTCTAAACTGCTTTGTTCTCTGTTTATGCCTTTCTGTGCATTTCTGCTTCATGCAGCTTGTTAACACCTGAAATGGTTCTGTCTGCTGTGCCCAGGGAATTTATTTTGGACAAAGGCAATACGTGCTTTAATCTCATTCTCTAGTTACAGTTCCAGCTCTGGCCAAGCGTGGCCCACAACGGCTGCGTCGTAAAAAGACGAGAGCCATTGTTTCCTCTCACTGCGGCGCCAGAGAGGACGTTGATACTTTATTAAAGCTGTCGAACCGAGGGATAAAGTCTGCATTAGATGGTGGTGTAAGGAGCTTTGCGGGATCGTTTGAAAAGGCTGTAAAGCCAGGCAGTGAATCCTTGAGGAGCATCCTGGAACTGAAAGAAAAAAAGCAACACAAAAACCAGGAGATGCCAGCAGCCTAGGCCTGCAAAATGCTCTACAGGGATTACTGAGAATGGAAGAAAAGATGCTCTTCTGGAAAAAAAGAATGAATGATCGATTGCAACAGAAGGCAGGGAAATACCCATTTAAGCGAGGGAACTAAGCCCAAACACGTGTCACTCCAAGCTAGCAAAACTGGCCAGGGGCACGACCCTTTCTTTAAGGTTTTTGGTCCCCTCAGCCTAGAGATCACCGGGTTCAAATCCGGGCTATGCCACCGGACCACCAAGACAAGGAGCTCGACTCAAAAATGAGTCCAATATTCCGCCAAAGACCTAAGAAAGGAGTCGTGAATGCCAACAGCACCAACAAAATAAAACAAAGAAAAGCAAGAGGAAATATTAGCGATGAACCAAAATTTGAAACAAGTGGACCGCTGACCGTGTCAGAATAGGATTTTAACATTTCCGCAGAGACATTATCATTCTTTCCAACCAGTCCTTTAATTCTGTCAGCGATCTTCATCAGAAGAGGTAATTAAGCGATCAAAGGCTCATTACATCAATAAAAGAGGCATGGAAGTTAACGAGGTGCTTTGTGCTCTGCAATGCAATTAAGAGGTCCTGCTGTCCATGTCGTCTCATCGGTAGTTTCTGACTCATGTGAATCACCCTCTCGTCTCTATACAGTAGTGTTAGTCATTTTAGGTAAAGGCATGTTTTGTGCATCTTAGAGTAGAATAGCTCTCAGAGGGAAGGTGTTCAGACGTTTGAGAATGTCAGAGTACAAGGCGCATTTCTGACACTGACAACCTGTTCCATGACAGAACCCTGCTGGTAGCGTAAAGTCATGCAGCAACTTGCCATGCCTGAGAGATCAGAGCAGCTCAGTAACTCAAAGATTCAAATGCCAAGATTCAGCATATCGTGGATCAATTATACTTGCCTGACGATCAAGGAAGGCATTCTCATTGAGAGCAGTGACAGGCTGTTTACTCCTTGCATGGAGGGTGTGGTGCAGAGAAAATACTTCCGCATACACTTTCCAGGTAGCTTTAATGACGGCTATGGCTGGCCACCCATCAACACAATCTCTCCACTGCCATCCTCTTTTTCCCATTTTAACTCCCAGCCTGCTCCTGGTGAAGGGGAGAACGAGGAACCTCAAAAGTTTGCCTGACTTTCGCCAGCCCTTCTCAAACTTCGCCGTCCTCGCTGGCACTCTCACAGAGCAGGAGAGCTAACCATCCAGCCCCGCTGAAGAAGGACCTGTTCACTTGAAGCTCCTATCCCCACCCCAGCCCATAAATAATCGAGTCCATGGATCAGACTCCACTTCCTCTAAAAATAAAAGGCGTTCCCACGGGGACAACATGAGAAAATGGGGAAGAGCAAACCTGCCAGATAAAATCGGATTTACTGTTCTGGGCACAAGAGAGCTGGGCTAAGGTAAGGAGAAGCCTGTGCTTTGATTGTGTGTCATGTACAGTGCCGTGAGAGTTGCTGTCTGTTCTCCAGATGAAAGCACATCGCAGCAGTGCTTGTAAAGAGGTGGCCTGTCTGCACTCCTGTGTCTATTCAGGATATGCTCGTTATACTAGCTGGAAGCCTGGTCTTCTTGGAATCCCGTCGGAGCGCATGTGTAACGAGTACGCCCCTGCGTATAACAGGGATCTCCGCCGGCCGGGCTGGGGGAGGTCTCCTTAAGCTCAGCCGGCGAGACCCCCGTTGCGTGACGCCGGGGACCCGGGTTCGCGCCCACGCAGGGAGGGACGAACTGGCAGGGCAGGAGTGGCAAGAGCCGAAACGCCATGAACTGTTACACGTGCCAGCACTCGAGAGGGTGACGCCTTAGGACGAAACAAACCTTGTGGGCAAAGCTGGCAGGCCAGTAGGTGGCGCTCTTTTCTCCTCCAAGACCAGCCAGTCCCAGGCCCAAGCCCAGGAATGGCAACAGTGGGCACGGCGCCACGGGCAGTGCTGTCTTTTGAAGCCGATATTAAATGGACGTCCCTGATTCTTTGGCGTTACGAAACGCGGCGTTCCTTTAAAGAGCCCACATGCGTGCGACAGTCCGATGATTTCTGGGTTCCTGAGCACCGTCGAGCGAACCGTCTGCGCGTCACAGCTGCCTCACAGCGTGTAAATGAATTACCACAGGTGAAAAACATACGTGAACTAAATGCAGTGAGCTGCAGAGGCGGTCTTCAGAAGAATATGACCCAGCTCCCCGCAGAGCTGCTGTGTGCAGCACCGCAAAGACGTTTTATATATATATACCTCGTATTTATATTAACTCTTGCGTCTGAGGGCAGATTTGGGTTCGGGGCTAGATTTAGGATTGGAGCTCCTGGGATTCAGATGAGACTGAGGTCGGAGAGGCACAGGGTTCCGGTTAGGAGTGCTCCACTAATTTAGATGCCCCCAGGATGGTCTGCAGTATTTTCTGACACCAGGACGGACCGTCTAAAGCAGATCTTAATAGAACAGTCTTAATAGATGCTCGGAATGCCACCATTAATTTTTGAACAGCGTATAGCTCTCCTAGTTGCCGAGTTTTTCTGGCGCCACTTCAGAAAAAGACTTTTCCCGAGTCATGGAGAGAGAATCTACTGTATCGCCGGGTTTTTTTTTTTTATTTCCAGCGCGGTCCGGCCCTACCGCGCCGACAAACCCCATTTGAAAAATATCGCCATCCATCTGATATTTTGACGCGTGCGACTCGAGAGCGCGAGGATACACGAATGAAAAATGACTCGGACGTGTTCTGAAGAGAAACAGACCACGACGGGCTTTTAAGAGCTCATCCATAAGCTGGCCTCTGCAGGCTGTCAACGGCACAAGCACCGATCGCACAATGAATGACGTGAGATTGTTCCCTTTGTCGAGAGTCCTGCCGGGGTTTCAGGGGCGAGTGTGAAACGCGCTTTGTTAAGGAGGATGGGAGAAAATGACGTTCTATTAAGTCCATTTCAGGCTTCTGAATTAAAAAAAATGGCAAAAACTAATTAAGACTGGGGCGAAAATCTTTTCAATTATCTTTTTTTTTTTTTCCCGTTGAATCCCAGCTGACAGAGAGGAGATTGGGTTTTGAAAAGCCTCAAAACGTCAGGGTAAAGAACGTATTGTCATGCTTTCCAGTGCTTAGCTAGCAGACTATTAAAAAGGGTTCAGAGCACTTAAACATGTAAGATGTTGCCCACTCTTTTTGAAATAATGACTTGTTTTGTCTTAACCAGGGGAAAGCAGTCTTGTTACCGTTTTGAAGCCTAATACACATTCAATGTTGGCATATTTTTTTTACCTACAATTGAAGAAGATGAATTATATATATATGCTGGGTTGTTTGTTGTGTGATTTGTACCGCATCCGCAAACATTCTTGGAATATCAGAATAACACTTTCTAGCAAGGATTTTACAACACAAGTGTGCAGTTTGGTCGCGTCGAAAAGCTTTTAGAAGATGTTACTTGGGAATATTTGAGGCATATAAGTGTAATTAATACGTTTGTTGTAGAGCCGTGAAGAGGGGTAAGGTTTACTGTGGGTTAATTGAAAAAAGCACTGCACGTTACTGTGAAAGCCCACATTGGTTGATGAAAACAAGCCGAGTTTAGCGCCTGTGTTATCTGTTACCTGAAGTGAGACCTTCATTTAAGTAAAAGTAAGCCGAATTACCATATTCAATTTAATTGAACTGCTCCTAGTTAATGCAAAAATGAAATCAGATGATGAGTAACATAAGCACCGACACCCCAGATAGCTCTTTTCCAGACGGTTGGCGGTTTTCGTCTGAAATATTAAAAAAAAAACATCAAGTCTAATCGCTGGCTTTGAAATGCCGGAGCCTCTAGTAGCCGGTAGGGGGACGGAAATAGAAAACCAATCCGAATTTGAGCTCATTTTCTCCCACTGTGAAAACGCTGACTGGAAATTGTCTCAACAGCCGATAGCAGCGGAAAGCTTCCTGAAATTTTTATTTTTTTCCTTCCTGAATGTTTTCCCCAGGAAGGCCAGTTACAAACGACGGGTAGGCTTCTGTAGGGAAACGGGACATTTCTATAGACACCTGTAGGCTGTTCTCGGGAAGGGTGGTCCTACAGCAGTATCTCCATGCATTTTCAACGGCATAGGTGCAGAGCAATTC